GCTCCTGGGGCGGCAGACCAGCGCGGAGACCCGCAGCAGCGGCTCCGGGGCGTCGTGGGACCCTTTCCCCACAGTTTCACCCAGTCCTTAGCCCCGTGCTGCGTCTTTCCTCCCGCGCTCGGAGGGATCCTGGGGTCAAGGCCTCCACAGACGTTGGGTTGTTCCCGGAGGGTCCTGTCGCAGGGTGTTACCTGGCTGCAGGCTAAGACTTTCCCACCACCCGTCATTAGCTTTCAGAGCTAACTGACAACAGCAGTTTTCGTCTTGGAAGCTGGACAGGGCCGGTCTTTGCATCTGCGCTCTGTCTGTAGCATTTCTGACTTGAAAACACCATGCGGTTGTTCATACTTCTGTAGCAGGGGTGGGCAAAATGCATCCCGCGGCCCGCCAGGCCATTCTATCCAGCCCGCGAAGTCCCTAAAAATTTTAGAAAATTAATATTTATCTGCCCTTGGCTGCCTGTCATGCAGACCTCGATGGCTTGTCAAATCTCAGGCAGAGGGCCGCTTACTGAAATAATTGCCTGCCTTTATTTATAGACTAGATTTGTGGGCTTTGTAGGATGTTTCGTTTGGCAGAGGCATCTTGTTTTTATAACCCCCCCCCAGGGTCTGATCCTTGTTTTGATTTTCACATCTTGAAACTGATGGGTGGAGCCAGGTCTATGTCCCCTTTAAAAGGACTGAGCCCAGAAAGATTTATACCCTCAGTCTGCTCATAGGAGGTACATATAGCCTGGCTAGCCTTGCATATTCTTGGACTTGAAAACAAAAGCCAAGTTTTACCACTAGATGTGTACTCAACACTCCCTTTGAGAGTTGTGCACAGTCGTCCATTGAATTTGACCTTAAATTAGTACATAAGGAAGTACCTGCTCCAAAAATATTCATTTTCTGGCCTCTCTATAAATAAGTCCTTTCAGTTGTCATAGCGTACGAGCATTTATGTAATGTATACTGTAGCACGTTAGTGGTAAAATAAGTAATATAGTTACACTCCCCATAGGTGCTTGGAACCCAAGTATGTAGCCAGGACAGAGCGTCAAGTTCTTTGCCAGATGAAAAAAAGGAATTTCTGAAAAATGGACCTGATTTGCAAGAATTTGTATCTGGGGATTTTTCAGACAAGAACACATGGGCTGATTATAAAGGCAACGTAAAGCGTGAGAAGGGAGAAAGGTAATTGCAGTTTCAAACTTGTATATTGTACTCTCATTTAGGATCATGTTTTCTTCAATACAAGACACAACTCTGTCATCTGTAAAAGTATCTGTTAGAGGTGCACAGGTGTATCAGCTGGCTATCGGATAGGCAGCGATAAAAGGAGAAATGATGTTATCAGCTTTTAGTCTTCGTAGCCAATAATTTTTTGGTCTTTCTAGCCAATAATTACGGCCGTGTGCCCAGAGCATCCTGACAAGCATAGTCTAGTTCCCTGTGCCCCACTGCTGACCCAAGCCTGCGGCATACTACAGGTCCTGGTGTTGGCTACAAATGTCCAACTCGGGATCCTTAAAATTCTAGTTTATTAGGCGGATTGAAATACTGTAATGAGTTAAATCATAAACCTTGGGGTTGGTACCCACGCGCACACACATGCACACACACAGTAGCAAGCTACAGAGTCAGGTATACCTATCCTACAAGCGCTGGAGTCTGCCGTCGATGGCCAGTTGAGGCTTCTTTCAGCGAGGTGTTATCATCCAGAAGGGGGTCGTCGGCTGGTCCTTCTGGCTGGACAGGTCGGGTGCTGGTCAAGTTGGAGATCAAGAGGGCGCCACTGAGGGTCACTTTTCGCTGCCTTTTATCTGTCCTTGGCAGACTTTGGTGACTCCCCAGTTTTCAGGTTTGCCCAATCCAGGGGTCATTGACCCTCGTGGGTGGTCCCCGGCGTTGATTAACTCAGGCCAGGGCTTCTAGCCCTTGATCAGTGACGTTTAGAGATTTCCCGGTTGTTACATTGTCTTCTATTGAATTCTTCCGCTGGTTGATCTGGAGTTTCCCAGGTGTTAATTGCTGTCTGCTACCATGTTACACATTGAATCACTGATTCACTTGCTCTTTCAGGGGCCAGCCTGATACAGGGAAGGACAGTTTGATTCCTGCCCTTGTTAACATTGTTACAATGTATAACTTACTTATGAAACTAAATACATTCAGTTGAAAGGTGAAAGGTGAGGAGTATAAAATATAAGCTACAAATGCCATGGCACACAAATAGATAAAAATACCAGACTACAAGGGGAGATACAAAATGCACACGAATTTTAAAACACAATTCCTTATCCTAAAGTGAAAGAGAGAGGAAGGAAGAAAAGGTAGAAAAAGAGAAACATATCCAGAGAGGGGAAAGCAAATGCAGGCAAGAGGAAAAGGGGGCTTTCTGCTACACTGGTGAGCAGTGGAAGGAGCTGGCACCAGGGAGTGGTCACAGGGCACTCTGCTCAGCAACGAAGGGACTGTTACCAGCTCCTGCTGCTACTGCCACTGCCATGCAAATTCTGTACGCACAGCAGGGGCCTGAGTGCCAGGCCTGCCGCAGAGACGTTTGGCTGTGTGGGAGGGGTAAGGTGCCTCGTGAGGGACGTTCTGCTCCACTGAACACCAGGTGCCTTTGCAAAAGTAGCTTCTCCCTGCTGGCCATGGGAGCTCAGCTGTGGAGGGCCTGCCAGTACTGAGGCAACAGCATGCTGTGGGGTTCTAAATACACCCGGCACCGCTGTCTGCACAAAGGTCCACCCCACCCACCCAGGATGGCAGCGTAGGGTGTGCAGGGAGTGGGGCTGCAGGTAGGAGCTGTGGCCAAGGGGATGATGTGCAAGGGAATAAGGTGAAGGCCGGAGCAGTCGGGAGGTGTGCGTGTGTGTGTGTTATAAGTGCAAAACAAACAAAAAAAGGGTGTATTTATGTCAGTACTTTAAAGTGCCTTGCACTATTACTACATATTGGTTATTCGATTGGCATTGGTCGACATGGTTAGTTAATCATCGGCTATTGGCATTGGCCAATAAATCTTTATTTTCACCCTAATATCTGTGTGAATTTTGTTGTTTTTGTCAAGTTTTGGAGCATTGCAATATCTATTTCATGCTTTGTTCTGAAAGGAATCATCATTTTAACTAAATGCAACATGGTTATACAGGCAGTCCTCAGTCCTCAGACTTATGACACAATTGGTTCCTGAAAACCGCATCTTAAGTCGAAATGTTGTAACTCAGAACCAATTTTCTCATAAGAAACAGTGTTATAAATGGGGGATTGGTTCTTGAACCAAGGCCCGATACCCTTTTTTCTCAAACAATACCCCAGAATTTTGTACTCGATCAATTATAGATGAGTAATATAGCTACATTAATGTATTTATATTGTAAATAGGAATCATATTGATTTGGAAGGACTTCTTTGAGGTGACTTTACTGGACTTTTTGAAGGGCTCTTGGTTGGACTTTTTGAAGGGTTTTTGGCTGGAGTCTTCTCAGGAGTCTTAGCTGCAGGTTTTTCTGGAGTCTTGTCCGCTTTCTTAAAGAAAGTGTCCAAGGAAGTTTGGACAGATGTTCTCCAGGGAGATGGACGACACAGCAAACTTGTTCACTGGCTAGGTGTCGCATCGGATCAAGCGTTATAAGTTGAAAATGACGTCATAAAGTTGAAACAGGGTGTGAATTTAGAAACGTTGTAAGTGCAAAACGTTGTAAGTCGAGGACTGCCTGTAATATGTTTTCAGCAGTGTATTGGATTAGTTTTCAGTATACAAGTAAAAAAAATAATATTTAAAGCATACAAGAACAGTGTATTTTTATTTTTAATGCTCAAAAGAATAGGAGTGAATGGAGCTAGATCTGTTTTAAAGGAGTCTCTTGATGTATAAAGTGTTGAAGATTCATAGATTAAAATTGATCACTTATAGCTTTGGCTAATGTTATTTTAAAATGTTGTTATTTAAATATGTAGATCTGAATGTATCTGTGGTACAGAAAGGATCCACAACTGTTTCATGGTTTATTAACGATAATTAATGTGGAAGTTAATAATGCTTAGTACATTATAAGGAGCATGATAGCATCTGAAACCCCCATCCTGAAGTGGTAGGATCTGCCTTGTATGTTAGTCCTCCTACTGTCATTTATAAAATTTGTGTTGAAGCATGTCTAATGTCAGCTGCTAATTGCTTTTATTTTAAATTATATATGATTGGAGATAATAGAATCTATCTCTGTACAAATCCATTTTGTTCCCATAACTAGTGATATTAATATTTACAGTCTGGTTCTAATTTGGAAAGTGACTCTAGAAATGGCTCATGTTTATTAAAATAATTTCAGTATCAAAACAGTTCACATTTTAGTTAAGAAGGTGTTTTTTCCCCTTATCTTTCAGTCATGCAGATTCAACTTGAGATGTTAAAGCTGTGTTGATTTTTTTTTTTCTTTTTTCTTTCCCCCCCCTGGCTCACACATTTCCAACATAAATCAATTCTGTATTCTAACTGTGGGCCTTAAATCCTGTAAATAGAAGTATATGCAAGCAATGGTTCAGCAACCCTATTGTTGCTCCAGGTGGGCATGAGGGCTCGCCTCTGTTACTGTTTTTGCAGGATAGGGATTTAGTTAACAATTTTGTTGATGGTGTACAACAGTGGCATTCAACTTTTTTGGCCAGCAAGCCAGATAGGCAGTGCCCAGGCTGTCCATGGGCCAGATCCAGCTAATAGTCCCGATCCAGCATGGGGCAGTTACAGCAGGGCCCCATCTAGCTGTATGGAAGGAGAGTAGGGAACATCCTGGCTCCAACCTGGCCTTGAGGGAAGAGAGGGGGATAGGGTATAGCTCTATCTCAATGGGGGAAAGGGATGTGGCCAAGCCCCAACCTAGCTCTGTGGGGGGGATGGGTGTGGCCCAGCCCTGTGGGAGAACAGGAGTGTGGCACAGTGCCACAAGAGGGGAGGGAGCATGGCTCAGGTCCTGCAAGGGGGGGGGAAGGGGGCTTGAGTCAGCCCTAACCAGGCCCCATGGGGGAAGAGGGCATGGTCCCATCCCACCCAGCCCAGTGTGGGGTGTGGCCTGGTTTCATCCAGCCTGCAGGGGTGGAGGGAGGAGGCGTTATTTGGCCCCAACCTGCTGCATGGAGCTCAGGGTTTGGAAATATGACAGTTGGGGAGGATAGCTGTATTTATTGCCACCACTCCCCTGCTGCCAAATTTCCCAAGCTATGGGGAGCCCTGTGGGCCAGATACCTATGGCTCCACAGGCTGCATTTGGCCCATGGGCCAGAGGTTGAGCACCCCTGGTGTAATATAAACCTAAACATCATGCGGATCATTCTCCCATAGTTGTGTACACCCTGCAGAGTAGCAAAAGTTTCCTTTTTGTCAGCTTAGGCTCTGATTTAACAAGTTGCTTAAAGCAGTTGCAGTCAGGAGATTTCCTTCAGACATAAGGCTAGGTCCCTAGCTAAGTACTTAACCTGAATCAGATCTGAGTGAAAAGAAAAAAAGTAAGAAGCTATTTATTATGATCAGTTTCCAGCACAGAACCCTGCTTTAAGAGATCTGGATGAAATACAATTTGAAATGAAAAACATACGTTCCAAATAAAATTTTCTGGAAACGTCTTGGTTTCAAGAACTATTACATAATGCTGTGGCATTCTCAAATTATGCAATATCATCTGAGATAGTAATGACCAAAAAATTATATTGAATATATTTAAGACCGTTTGTCTTAAACTGCTGATAATATATATTTTTATGATGAGCCCTGGCACTTTTTCAAGAATTACAAAATAACATGGCTTCACATGTGCGTCAGAATATCCTAACATGTAGAATGTGCTTAGAACCCCTGTTTCATTATAAATATGGTAGTTCTGCCTCCAGGCTTCATTCTGTGGATACTGAATTAAATTCTGCTTTTATTTTCCACCCAGGAAACGTAAGGCCAATAAAACTACCTTTGTGTAAAATAGGGCAGAGCATGACTTACTTCATGGTACTGAGTAGAAGTGCAGAGTCACTTGAGCTATAGTGATCTTCTGCTTAGAAAAATGTACGTGAAAAATAGCCAACAATAGAATATGAAGACACCGAGGTACCTTCTCCTTTAGCATGTGTGTCATGAACACTATTGAGTTATAAATGTGCATCAAGAAACAAATATATCCTATTTTTTTAAAACACTTACATGAAGAATGAATTTAGAAGTTACCAAAAACAAAACCAGACCACCTTTCAACATCTGACCAGACTTTATGGCAATTGTGTTATTACATTGTCTGTATCCGAGATATCAATCAATGCCGTTTGTACTATGGTACTTATGTTAAACCCCAACGGTATATTTAATTGTCTTGCATCCTAATCACAGTGTGTTTCTATCTATTTTATGGCAAGATAATAAATTAGCATAGGAGTAAGTAATATAGTATTTGCATTAAATATGTTAATATTCATTTATGAATCGGGACCAAGGACTGTGTCGTATTTGGAAGCTGCAACAAAGGAAGGTGGATCCATGAAGTGAAACAAAGGTTACTTATACATAACTTACTAATCCTTGTGTTTGCTTGATACTATACAGGTTACGGCTTCCTCCGTGGCTGAAAACTGAGATTCCTATGGGAAAAAACTATAATAAATTGAAGAGCACATTGCGAAGTTTAAATCTTCATACAGTGAGTCTAGCGCCTGTCAATATTTCCTCTTCAGAGAAAGCATTGGTTTCATGTTGTGAAAGTCACCATTTGAGGACCACCAGAAAGCCTGTCCTCATAAGCCTTAGGGCTTAAGATGGACTTGTGATGCAGAGTATTGTGTTGAGTTTCTGCAAAAAGGGGAGATTTCACCTCAGAGAAATGGAGGAAGAAATAAGAGAATATTTGACATTTTCCTGTAACCATTTTAAATATTGTGCTGTTTCTTTAGTCCTTCTGGGAGATGGAAGATTATCTCTCTCTCATTTTAATAGACATGTTTATATAATTTTTGGAAATATATAAAAATAACTCAAGAGAAGAACTTTTAGAAATGTTTTTGTTATATCAGATATTAACCCCCCAGAGTGATAGGAAAAAATGGATATAAGGGTAAATTCTTTCCATCTCAGATTTTGTACAGATTGTATATACTTTTTACTATATCTAAAGTGTCCATAATTAATCATATTTAGAATGTTGATAAATAGTTATTTTGCTAAATAATTTTTCAAAACATTTTGTAGATGATGGTGATGATGTTGAGAAGGTGCAGAACTGGATGCTTGGGTTTCATGCCCAGCTCTGACATTGACTTTCTATGTGATGTTGGGTAACTCGGTTATTGTATAATTTAGCTCTGTCACTTTATCCCAGAAGGGGTTCTGTGAGGCTAGATTCCTTTGGGAGAAGGCACTAGTAAAATATGATTTATTATTAATAATGTTGCTTTAATTCTAGGTGTGTGAAGAAGCACGTTGTCCAAATATTGGAGAGTGCTGGGGAGGGGGCGAGTATGCCACTGCTACAGCAACGATCATGGTAAGGTGGTAATTGCCTCTTTTTAGAAGATTATTCTGTTCATGTTTCATCTGTTGGTACCAAGTTTGGATGTACACATATCTCCAGCATGATGATATTAGTATGCAATTCTGAGATGCATAATGAGTATTGTAAAATGCACGATGGGTTTTTAGTAACAAATATTTATTTTTTTCATCTATTCAATACTTTCTTGCCTGAATAATACTCAAGTGTAAATATAGCCTTTTCTTATTTCAGCTGATGGGTGACACATGTACCAGGGGTTGTAGATTTTGCTCAGTAAAGACAGCAAAAAGTCCACCTCCATTGGATCCTAATGAGCCTTACAATACTGCCAAAGCTATAGCTGAATGGGGCCTGGATTATGTTGTCTTGACTTCTGTGGACAGAGATGGTTAGTATCATTAGTGTCTCTTGATGTATACTTCCTTATAAAGTGTGCAGAAGTTTTACACTCTGCAGGTAATTTAGCTTATTGCAGGTGTAGATATAACTTTACATGATCAACGAAAGGAATTAATGATGCTAGAATTTTGCATAAATTACAAAACAGTCTCCAACCCTGAGCCTTTTTCTCATACTTTTTACACAGGAAAGATAGACCTAGTTTCTGATTTCCCTTACGCAAAAAAGAAATAGTTATTTATGGAACTGATTTGGGCTCTTTGGGTAAAGCTGATTTTCAAAACAAACGGGGAAAAAAAAAAGATATATTTCTGCTACAGTTATAATGATTTCTTAGTGTTTTGCTGGCTTGATGAAAGAATAGAATCAAAAAAGTCTTTTATGCTTCTGGTAAAAGCCTTGTAGCTTCCAAATGATGGATGTCATCACAAAGGAGAAATAATGACATTTATTTATTTTTTTTAAACTATCCGTGAAATACTACAGGAAGAAAATAAATTAAACCTTTAAACCATTCTGTGCTAAAGCCCATGGAAAACCCTCAGACTGTAAACAAATGTACCATTTCTCCTGAAAGTAATTTGTCCCAGAATCCTAGACCTGTGCTCAATTGTTCTGCTTCAGGTACTTGTGAATTATGAGGGATTAAATGTGATAACATCTGCCTCTCTCCCACTGTCCTCAATATACGTTGTGGTGTTCTGTAAGCTTATTGCAGGGACAAGCATGTCAGGCTGTGTGCTTTCATTGGCTACTGACTGGCAGAGGAGCAGCAATGCAGCTTGAAAAGGCAACGTGTAAATAGTTTTGTGGGTTCTGTTTTGATGCAAGTCAAAACTCAGGACCACCTCAGATGAGACATCTTTGCTTCTGAGGCTGGGAGCAGACAGTTAATGTTTGCCCCCTAACCAACCTTATCTAGCCTAGCTGTGGCAGGGGTCTGGCAGTTCACTTGTTGTAAGGTTTAGGGACAAGAGGTAAGGTCGCAATAGAGCAGAGATAGAGAACCCCTGGGACACATCCCAGAGCATGGCACGCAAGGCATCTTGCTTGGCACATGTGCCTTAGGGAAGGGGCCGGGGTTGCACTGCCACAACAAGGATCAGGCTCCTCTTGGTTCCCCCACTGTCTGCCCTGGCACACCAACATCTTACAAATCAAGGTTGTGGGTGTTTTTTGTACTCTGCTCAAAAATGTTGCCGACCCCTGGGATAGTGTTTCAACTTTAACTGAGAATTGGTTTGGAGTCAGCATAGATACCTAACATTAAATGATCCAAAGTAAATGTTATGTTAAAATAAAGAATAAAATTGTTTGTAGATATGCCGGATGGAGGAGCTGAACATTTTGCAAAGACAGTCTTGCATTTGAAGGAAAGGTACGACATTATTACTTCTATAATCTGTTATTATTAAACATATATAACATGGCAGTGCCAAAAGGCCACAACTAGGTTGTGCTCCATTGTGTCAAGTCCTATCATAGATGTCAGTCCATACTCAAAAAGCACATGCATGTATTTTTTTCATTCTTAGAATCATAGAAATGCAGGGCTGTAAAGGTCCTCAAACTTAGCTAGTCCAGCCCCCAGCATTGAGACAGGATCCAGGTATGTTTAGACCATCCTCAGCAGGCATGGTCTAATGTTTTCTTTAAAACTCCAACAAGGGAGATTTTCTGTTTCCTATACCAGACTTTCACTATCATAGCAATTAGAAATGTTTTTCTAATCTAGCCTACATGGTTTTTGTTATAAATTAAGATGATTTCTACTTGCCCTTCCCCTAAAAGCCAGGGAGAACAATTCATCACTGTTCTCTTTATGTGGCCCTTAATTATAGGGGAAGACTATTGTTACCCACGTCCCCACTCAATCTTTTTGACTAAACAAACGCAGTTTGTTCAACCTTTCTTTTATAGGTCACGTTATCTAAAATTATTCTCATCCTTGTTGCTATCCTCTGGACTCTCTCTACTCTTCATTAATGTCTGGAAGCAGTATTCCCGCTGAGGCCTCACTGACACTAAGAAAAGCAGAATTATTACCAACTTGGTCTTACTGACTCTTTTGTTAATGCATCTTAGAATCAGATTTGGCTTTTTTGCAGCAGCATCCTACTGTTGACCCATGTTTCTTCTTGTTATACATTTTTGATTAGCTATAATGCCAGATCCTTTGCTGTCAAGTTTCTATGTTGTCATTTATTTCCCCTTCTGTATTTATGCTTTGATTTCTCCATTCTGTGTATAGCACTTTGTGCCTGGCTTCATTGCATTCCATCTTCCTGATTTCAGCCCATCTCTCCATTGGTTAGGATCATTCTTTTAAATTCTGATCTTGTCCTCCAATGTACTTGCAACCCCTCCCAGCTTGGCATCTCATCCACAAAATTCATAAGTGTATTTGGTACTCTGTCATCCAAATCATTAATTAAAATATTAAATGGAGGTGTGCCCAGGACAGTTCTATAACAGGCACTACTTGAAATGCCCATCTAGCTTGACAGAAAACTGTTGATAACTACTCTTTGAGAGAGATTTTTCAACCAGCTGTGCACTCCTTGTGATGATTACATCTAGAACATATTACCATAGTTTGCATATGAGACTGTCATATGGGACAGTGTCAAAACTATTTCTAAATCAAGATATATCACATCTTCTGCTTCTCTTTCATACACTAAGTTACTCTGTCAAAGAAGGAAATTAGACTGGTTTGTCTCAGTCTGTTCTTGATAATTGTACATTGGCTGTTTTTAACATATTATATTATAGGTACAAATTGACTGTTAAATGATTTTTCTCAAATATTTCAGAGATCATTGTTAACATGGCTGGTCTGCAGTGCCCTAGCTTCTCTCAGAGATCATTGTTAACATGGCTGGTCTGCATTCCCCTAGCTTCTCCCTTTTTTCCAAGAAAAAAAAAAAAAAAAAAAGAATGTTGCCCTTCTCAAGTCCTCGAGGACCTCCCATGTGCTCTGCAAGTTCTCAAAGATAATATTCAAGGGTTCCAAAATTATTTCTGCTGTTTACAAAAGTACTCTTGGGAAAATTTTGTCAGGCCCTGCTGACTTCAGTACATTTCTCTTATTTAGATATTATTTAACCTGTTCTTTCTCTGTTTTAGGCTATGCTCCTATCTGTGTGTTTAAAATTACTTTCATTCAGTATATGGTCACAATTAACTTTTTTGCAAAGACTGAAGCAAAAAAGGCATTGAATGCTTCAGCTTTCTGTATCATCTGTTGATGTTCTCCTTTGCTGTATAGTAATGGACCTGTATTTCCTTTGTTTTCCTCTTTTAATGTTCTTGGAATATTTTTTTTGTTGGCTTTTATGTCCTTTGCAATGGAAATACATTTTCCATCTTAGCCTTTCTGATTTTATCCTTATGTGTTCATGCTATTTTTTTGTATGCTGATCCTTAGTCATGTGACCTTGCTACTACTTTTTGTAGGATTGTTTTTGGACTTTCAGGTCACTGACAAACTCCTAATGCTTATGGCTTGCAATGCCTGTATATATCCTTGGCAGAGAAATAGTTTGCCCTCCTTTGTGTGTTAAATATAGTCTCTCTTAGTAACTTCCAACTCTCTTGGATTCCAAACTTTGATAATGCTAATGAGTTATATTGAATAAAGAGTTTGGAACATTCTTCCACTGAATTTCAGTTTATCCTGACTGCTTTAAATCTGAACACTGAACTGTTTTTTGGGCCCACACATCTGGATCATTGTTGACATAGGGATCTAACAGCTGAATAGTGGGTTTCAGAAATGATACTAGGTTGCAAGAGGATCTGCTTTATTTTTCAGTACTGACCTCTGTCCTTGGCCATTTTTTCCTTCATGTCCTTGATTCCACATCCTTATTTCCTCATTTAAGCCTCCTTGCAGTTCTGCTACCATGTATCATCTAACACAGACACAAGTATGCAGCCAGAAGGCTGTGGATTTAATTCCTACATCCCAACTTGTGTAATGAGTAGTAGATGGGAAATCTCCCAAGTTCATCACCAGCACTTCTATAATCACCTGCAAGGGTTTCTGTGCATTTATGCAAAATAGTTGTCCCCAGGTTGCAGAGCCAAATTCCTGCTCCTGGGTTACTTGCTTAGATTCCTAAATAGCATTACCAAATATGTAGTCTCTTAACCCACAGCTCCTGTATGTCATCTAGAAGTTCATGTTTAAAATCCTGTTACAAATCTTGTGAAGCATAGTACAGAGCACAGATGAAAAAAATGAAATTCATGCATAACCAGCACTTTCTTTGACAAAATGTGATGGCTTAGGAGGCCATAGGAATGACTTTTATAATATGTTTAACTTGCATGACTTTCATTTTATTTCTTCTTCTATGGGTCAAATCAGGAATTATACGTCTGCTATGCTTTGAGTAAAAACTAGCACTCAGTTATTTTCAGGGCCCCATTGTTTTAGATGGGTACTATAGATTAACTTTATTTGCATATTTGAAAATTTATACATTAGACTTATCATTTTAAAAATAATGACTTTTAATTACAGGAAGATAAACCTTTTGACTACATACTAGTCCAGTATTTTACTGTTAGAACTTTTGACATATTTGATTTGAGCAGTTGACATAAATACCATGCATGGATTCATTTTTCAATCTTTGTTTTTCAGGAATTCAGGAATTCTAGTCGAATGCTTAACCCCTGATTTTCGAGGGGACCTGAAAGCAGTGGAGAAAGTTGCCTTGTCAGGACTAGACGTATATGCACATAACGTGGAAACTGTTCCAGAATTACAGAGGTGATTCAAGCTGGTCTGAGTATATGTAGCTATTAGAGGAGGTGTACAGTTAGAAGATAATCTGTGATGTTCTTTGGAGAGCAATATGGAGATGACTGTATTCCATTAAGCTCTGTTGCTAATTGAGTCCATTGCAGATTTGTTGTCTAAAATGTCACAGTGAGTGCTTTTTTGAAAGGCCTAACTTGGTAAGGTAGTATTCTGGGGTTTTGCTAGAGCTGTCAGAGGTGACACATTAGGGAGAGAGTCACATAAGTTGATGAAAACATTGTCTAAAAACAAATATAATGCTAGATTGTAAGACCGTGTGCATTAGGATCACACCTCTTTCAGTTGTAAAATTGTGGCAGGTCAAAAGGCAGTTTTGTTGTACCTAAATGTGAGAGATGTTTTTTTCATCCCAAGGCTAAGTGGGCTGCATTTGAGCATTTTCCAGAATATCTGGAAGCTTTGTAATAGATAAATATGGAAGGGTGGGACCTTAAGGCTCCCAGTTCAACTGACTTTTGCTCTGCTCTAGGACCTGTGTCACCATGAAATTATGTTTTCAAAGTGAGGAAATTGTTGGACGCAGATTGAATGTTTGAAGGGCACTCCACAGCATTTGTCCATCCTCCCAGTGTTTCAGTACCACCCGTGGGAGCCAAGTTGTGCTCATCTTAACAGTGAAGTTACGTTACAGCTCCTACTGAAATTTCCAGAATCCTCTGCTCCCTTCCCTGGGTGGCCCTGTGCGCTGTGCATGGTTTCTACCAGCAGAGGGCAACGTACTCTGTAAAGTAGCACCTCCGAAGTTTTACAGGCCTGAAAAAGTGGATTCGGTGAACTATTTTTCTTTTGAGTGCTGGCTGATTTACTCCCACCCAACCAGGTCTCCAAAGACTTCTTGGCACAAAAAGGATTTAATTCCTTCCTGTTGCCTCTTTTCTGTTGTAAAAGTGGCTCCCATCTTTATCACCATGTTGTAAACTTAGTAACAAATTAACCTGACAAATGAAAGAGGTTCTTAAAAAAAAAAAAAAAAAAAATCAAAGATAAATGGTGACTTTTTAGATTGCTTTTAACGTGCCTCATTTAAAAGCTGGGGCTTTGCTTTGATATCTGTTGTTAATGTGACTGATTTTCTGGGATCAAAATCCAGGATACAGTCCCTTATTCTCCATGGACCTTTGGACTGAAAGTTGCTTCCCCAGCTTCTGGCTCCGGTTAATTTAATCCACTGCTAACTTCTGAACCGGCAGTGTCCTTGTACCTTTTCTCAGCAGATACAGCAGGATGCTGCCTGCTCCCGTGAGAACACATGGGGAAGAGTCAGCAAGTTAGGGCCAATTCTACAAATATGGGACAAAAATGCCATATCAGGGATTATTGAGGACATTGGGAGACACCCCCCTAATTCACAGTTGTCCTAGGAAACATGGGGTGATTGGTTTCAGCCTACAGGTCTGCCACCTGGACGAGCAACTGTCTATTCCCCCCAATCTCTGGTCTTTGTTACCTTGAAGTATCATAGTGTAAAGGAAAAAATGACCCTTTCCCATTTTGAGGTCTGCTCCATTAGGGTAAAGGAGCCAAGAACCCAGTGGAGGGGCAAAAAGACAACAGAGCTGCAGGCACATGGTGGGGATGGATTTACCTAACCAAAACACTTTATAGCATGCACAGTTCTTCCCCAGGGAGAGGATGAGACAGAAAATAAATCATGCATAACAGATATTAATCATATCATAGTGCAGTGTTGTAAGGCACTCAGATACTATATTGAAGAGATTGAAATAAAAACGTACATAGACTGAACTGCTGTGAACTGTATCCCGGGGATTGATAGGTGCCTTATCTTGAACAGCTCCTAAAATTTAACTGTGGAATTAACAGGTTTTTACCTACAAATGTTCCCCTGTTAATTTAGTAAGTTGGATGGTCTAAACTTAGTTAATGTATAGTTTGGCCACGTTACCAGCCAAACTATATAGAGGGAGCTAGCCTGTACCACTTTTATAGTATGGACATAACTGGTTTGGATACAGTAATATGGTTACCTGCCCTGAGTAGATTGCCTTAAAATGGCTGCAAGAAAATTCTTGTGTAGAATTCAAGTGCAGCTAGGGTGAGGCAGTACCCAGTGCAAGTGAAACACAGTTCCATTGTTGTTTTTGTATTGTAGTGGCTCTAACAGATCTGGGGTCATTACGCTAAGACATATGTAGATACATGATAAGCAGGGATCCTGGTTTTCTCTAATAAAAAGTTGCAAATTCTCTGATTAAACCCCCCAAAATCCGTGATTAAAATGAAAGGCCCTTCAGTCCCACCTCACAGCCCCCTGACCCTGCTTGTGCCCCTCGCTCTTCCCCCACAGCCCCTCCAGCGCTGCTGGTGACTCTTGCCAACAGCCTCCTGCCACCCCCAGCCCTGCTGAAGGGGGCCTCCAGCTGCCAGAGCTATGGGGCCAGGGACCTGGGTCCATAGCCCCCTGCCCCCGCAGGAGATGGTGGCTACTGCAGTGGAGATTCCGCCCCCCCCCCCAACTGCCTCCATGTTGCAGGCTTGGGCAGGGAGGCTGGCTCCCCACCACTGCACACACTCCTAGGGGGCATGGGGGACCCATGCTCCCCAGATCTTTGTGCAGGACAAGCACGGACTGCCCACTATGGGTGCGCATGTGGCCCGGTGCTGCAGGGCTCAGCAGGGCTGCACGGGGATCTCCTTGTCATTGAGAGCTCCATGCTACCCTGGTGAGGCATCCCCTGCACACGCAGCATCAGCAAGGAGCAGAACCCTGTGCTACTGCCCTCGATGCTGCTGCACATGCTGGGGATGTGTTGCAAGGACAGTATGGAGCTCGTGGTGGCAAGGAGATCCCCACGTGACCCCACTGTGCCCTGCAGCACCAGGTCGCACCCGGTGGGCTGTAGAGGCTCTGGGGGAGGGCAGCAGGGTGGGAGCCCAAGCCTGCAGTGGGCAGCCTGCCCCCACCCCAAGCACAGATCCAGGGGACACGGGTCCCCCCCGCCTCTCCAGGAGTGTGCACGGTGGCAGGGAACCAGCTGCTGCGCCGGCCCCCCCCCCGGATGAGCCATCTGTGACCCCTGTGGTCGTGCATTGTGGCCCCAAGCCCCATGGACCACCTGGCTGGGCAGCACCCCAGCCCTGCCCAACTCCCTCCATCCCTCACTATGGGGGCCTCAATCTCCCCCCACTCATCTTACCTGCAGGAGCCGCTCTCCAGGCTGCCTGGCAGCCATGTGTTTATACACTCATGTGGCACCCCCTGCCTGACTGCCCTCCTGCTCCCTCCCAGGCCCTTTTAGGCTGGAACTGTGCCAGCTTGCAGAGCTTTTTGCAAAATCTGCAAGTTTCTCCATTAAAATGAGAAATCCATTTTTTCCTCCAGTAAAGGGGAAAATCCTTGTTTTTCTCCATTTTTTTCTGTGGGAAACAGGAAACCCCAGGTCCCTGATAAGATCTTTTGACTCTGCAGAAACAGGCAAAAGTTTTAGTTGCTAAAACCACAGGTCCCTGAGATTATTCTAGTGTCTCTTGTCTCATGCTTTTTTTTTTTCTAATATTTTTCTTATGCTCAAGATAACATGAATATTTTTTAAAGGAAAGTCCGGGATCCTCGAGCCAATTTTGAGCAATCTCTGTGTGTTTTGAAGCATGCTAAGAAGGTCCAACCTGATGTAATTTCTAAAACCTCTATTATGCTGGGGTTAGGCGAGACAGATGAACAAATACATTCAACAATGAAACGTAAGTCATCCTTAGAACTTATGTATACAAGCTCGAGTATGTTGGAAAATGATTGCAAGATTGTTGCTTTAACATAACTGAAACAATCTAAACTGTTGTCTAAATTGTCTGCAGAAAACCCCCAATTTTTGTTCATTTTAAAAATCAAGAACAGCACTTTTTGTTCCAGAGCTATTAGGTTTTCACATTTTCAATAAAAACTTTTAAACAGACCACTCTGTCCACCTATTCCAACTCCAATTAAAAGTAATGGGAATCTTCTCATGGACTGCAGTGGGACTGTCTCTATCCATTTAACATTAAACATCCAGTTGGGATCTCAAAGGTAGACCCCATCCGTGTTATTTTACTGTATTTGGTTTTAAAGTAACATACTTTTTTTGTAGTTTTCAAAATAACTTCTTGATTTAAATGCAAAGAGTATTTTTAAAAGGGCAGAAAGTTGTCCTTAGCAAGAGTACCTGCCCCTTATCTATTTTTATACTTAGTTTTATATTTGAGAAAAATCAAGGTTTGTGAAAGTGGGTTAAGAAGCCTCTTCTAGGATGAAATTCATGGACCCCATCTCTTTGCCCCTTTTTTTGTTCAAAGCCTGGAGCAGATTGCTGGGATGCAGTGCAGCCCTTTCATAGCTACCCCTCCAGGACTTCTCTGGGGGATTCCTAGCCACTGGCATCATGGACATAAAGTGTGCTCTTTCTGTCCCCAGGCAGGCTTTGCATCAGTATTTTTGGAGCCAGGGTATAGCCCACCTCCTTGGTATGCAGACCACCCTGACACCTGTGCAGTTGCTGTCATCTTGCTTCCCTTTCCTCCCATATACTTGCATTATAGAATGTGTGAATTTACCAAGAGCGAGGTAACTTCGTCACAGAACAAGTTCAGTCTAAGCAGAAGTTCACAGTAATTGCAGTTGCAGTGTCCATCATGAAATAATTTATGGCTTTCTTTGTGTGGGACAAATCTGGGCACCCAGTCTTAAGAACAAAAATAGATATGAAATAGATGTGTGAACAGATACCTTCATGAGCTGGGCATGAGAAGGCTGAATTTGCTTCTGTAAGTATAGTTTCGAGTTTGAATGGAAGTGGTTCAATTGTTATTCTCAATTAGGGTGTCTTGAGAGCCTTTCAAGGGTGCCAGGCAATCTTAGCACTGTTAGGTGTACAAATATGATTCACAAGATCATTCCAAAGTTTTCAAATAAGATTCCATAGGGTTAAAAAACATTCTGACCTATTGTGGTCTTTTGAGCTCTTGGCAACAGGAAAAAAATTGCTCTGTTACTTTTCTGTAGCAAAAAAACAAGTGAAAACTAAGAACAGCTATTTTCTGATGGGTGCCTCGGGTCTAAAAGGGCTGAAAACCACTGAGACATTTAATAGCAAATCTAAACAGTTCAGGGTCTCAGAAAGCACAGGCATTATATTAACATATAGCTATAAACTGTGTAGTATTAGTGAAAGATGTTGGTAATGCCCTTTGGATTTATGGCTTCTATATTAGAACTGGGTGTGTAATTTCTGCATCAGCATTTCTTCACAGCTTTTCCAGAACTAAATCGTAGCCCTGTAAGTAAGCATTTGGCATTGTAGACTTTTGCCAAGCAATGAGCTTTACCTAAGGATATTAATTGTTATGTTCATACAAAACAAAGTAAGCAACGCCAGTAGTAAGATGATCCATATTATTTATGGGGTGACAGAAGTGTGGTAAGCTCTTAGGTTTGAGCCCTGAAGCAGACAACCAAAAGCAAATTCCTGGTGGAAATGTTTCTTACAGGTTATTATTAATTACACTTGACTTTTTAAATTCAGTATTTTAATACTGCTATTGGAGAGGATTCGGTCATGTAGACCTCATGCAAAAAGTGGATTTTTAGAAGGACATTTGGAGAAGAGATTCTAGAGGCAGGGTAAGAGTACAGTAAATCACTTTTAGAAGATCACAATATAATATTAATAATAGAAGAGAGCAAGAAGAAAGATGCATTTTCCTAGTCCAGTGCAGGTAATGAGCTCCTCCTTTGGAGCTCAAAGTATGTCAAGGATGGAGCTCAGATGTGGCGGGAGACTGCCACATTTGCTGTGCATTATACTTTAGCAATAAGTCAAAATTAGTCTCAGCTAATGATAAATCAGAATCCAATCCCATTATGGAGGCTGGTCTCATTCACACTCGTAGAGATGAAAAACAGTGAAAGTTAAGGTCAAAGTCTTATTAAAATTATATTTTAATCTTGAGTATTACTAAATATTAATCTTGCTATCTGAAGTATTATACCCAAGCACTGTACTCTCTTCCCTTGGCTTCACATGTATTCTTTGATGCCATATATTAGAAGACAGATTCTAACCCATGGTTGTTTTTTAATAAGTTAAGAACTTATCTCCATTCAGAACTGGGCATAAAAAATGTTTTAGTAGTCATGATTCTGGCACCTGCTAAGTAGGCACTTTTCTTTTACAGTATTACGTGAAGCAGATGTGGACTGTTTGACCTTAGGACAATATATGCAACCAACAAAACGTCACCTAAAGGTACACATATCTTGAATTTGCTGCCCAAATTGTAGTCCACAGCCCACAGCTGCCCAGCAGCATTGTTCCCCATACTTTGTCAAAAGGAGGCTTCACATGTCTTTAATGCAGCTTTGGATAATTTGAAGAACTCTTCACCTTTAGACTGGGCAGGCATCTGTGCACCATGATCTGTACTCTTTTCAGGTGTAGCCAGGCAGCTCTGCACTGTGGGCAGCTGTACACTACCTAGCAGCTCCAGCTGCTGTGGTGCCAATTGCAGCAACATGGCCCTGATGTGGACACAGCTATTTTTGCATCTTCCCCTTCCCCCCACCCACCCACACAGTTGCAGCTCCTTAGTTACATTACTGGGCTCTGTTAGAAGTGTCACAGCCCTTAAACCTACAAGCACATGCTACTTCCTCTCTGCTGCCTGCAGTCAGGACAGAGGAAGCTGGCCTGATTCTCTTGCAAGGAAATAGTCTTATTCTAGGTAGAAGGCCCAATCCAGCCTCCTTCCCTGCTACATGACATACTGCCCCTTAGTGGTGTCAGTCTAATTAGAAATAGGCATGTTGCTAGGTTTTCCATCCTGTAATCTGGACCCAAGTTTCAGAATTCAGTTCTATTCCATTAGACTAGAATCGGTGTTTCAGTGAGCAATTGATTCCTGGTGAGAAAATGGATTTTGTAGCTTTTTAAGTAACTTGGAAAATTTAAAGGTTTGCTCAAAAATGGACCAGTTAAGATGGTGAAGAAAATATTGATTTGATGAAACAACTGAAGTAAAATGGTTTAAGCTGCTACTCTTTAAACATGTAACAGTGAACAGAAACACTGTTGGCTTGCTCAGAGTCAAGAGGTAAGTGTAGTTATATCAGGTTTTCAATTTGCCACTCAGTTTTGAAAGATACAACCCCTAAAGTAATGGTTACATACACCCACATTCTATCTTACTGCAGAGATGTTATATCTGTTCATTAACACAGTGAACAGTATTGCATTCACCAACATCAGGCTCTGATCAGAATTAATCTTTTCCATTCAGGTTGAGGAATACGTTACTCCTGAAAAATTTAAATACTGGGAAAAAGTGGGAAAAGAGCTTGGATTTCATTACACGGCTAGTGGCCCTCTTGTACGCTCCTCTTATAAAGCAGGTAAGGTTCAGGTTTTTTTTAGAACGTATAACTTATGTAAATTGAAGTAATTGGTAACAAAATGTCACCTCAAGGACAAATCGGAACATTGGCTCTTTGTTACTTGTATGTGGAATAAAGCTTTTTTTCCATCTCATCTCACTGGGATTGCCAAAAGTTGGTATTTCAACAATTAATATTACTGCTAAAGCTGACATTTGGTCAAACTGAGAACTTAATTCAATGACCCAGGTCTAAGTTTCTATTAAGCATTAAAGTTACTGATCCATGCATGTATTTATTTTTAAAGAATATCATTTGCTGCTCCTGCCGTTACTCACTTCCTCTAAGGATTCTGGGGTTTGAAACAGTTTTCCCCTTGCCTGTTCACTGGTGAACTGAAATAGTGTTTAATAGCACTGAGGAAACAACTTTTCATGACTCCCTTTTTCTATCAAAATGTCAATGGGTATGTCTATATGTACATTAACTCACTTTATTTATGCATATTAAATCTAGTACCTCCAGGCACTTGTACATATGCTTGTGCTGCAGCACCGAGCACCTTTAAGACAAAAGTTTTAGTTCAAACATGCACCACCCCCATTTTCTCAGTACTGATGCACATTTCCTCATTTATACAAATGCTTGCAACAGTGCCAGGTGTCAGCTCACATGCAGAGCAGACTCAATTAACAGAGTCTGCTCCAACATGCTGGATCTCTGGCGCATCGGTGCAGACAAATGTGTATGTGTAAAGGCCCTCCATTGTGAAATGCCAAGAAAATGCTCATTAGCCTGTCTTATTGCACATTAAGCTGAAGAGTACCATTTAAGTGACGCTTAATGTGCATTAGCCTATTTTAATGCACATTAACTAAATAGCACAGTTTTTATAGTGATGCTTTAATGTGCATTAAAATAAGCTAATGTGTAGACTGCCCAGTATGTTGAACATTTGGCCCTGCCCGAGATAGGTTGTCCCCATAGCTTGCTGTTTTGGGTTGGGAGACAGGAGGGGTTATAGACAAATGAGCTGGGGTATTTTGGTTCTCAAATAGTCTCTAGCATAATTTAAACCACCTTTCAAACAAGGAACTTCAGTAGCATATGAAGAGGAGAACTAATTCCTATTACATAGTGGGAGGCACCATGTAGCTCTGTGATCTCACACACACAACTAAGCAGTAGTAGAGTCAAAGAGGAGAACCCTGTGGTTCTGACTTTCACTCCTTTTGAAGTACTACTGCTTCTAGAACACTAGAAATATATACTGCTTTGCTTGTGTTGGTTAATCAATTGACTTCTCTTAGTATTAAATTTTCTTTTAATTAGGTGAATTTTTCTTGAAGAATTTAATAGAGAAAAGGAAGACAAAGGCCATTTAAAATGGGAATGGTCTCATCTTCAGAGAATTTCAGCTTTATACCGTCACATTTTCCAAAAGTTCAATTAATTGCAAAAACCAAGTGCCAGATGGTAGACTTCTAGGAAGATGCTGAGTGTATTTAGAATTCTGAACTGTTGGCAAAACAAATTCATCTCATTTTTCATTTCAGTAGAGTGTTATGTCTCAGCTCTGTTGTTAGGGAACCCTGGCACAGGACGCAGTCTGTCCGACTCGCAAAGAATTCCCCCTCCCTCCCTTCCTCTACCTAAACAAAACTGATTAAGATGCAGTGGGAGATGCACCTAACGCTCCAGATAAGGGTGACGAGTGAAACAACTGCCCTAGGTCTCATTTGCATCCAAGATGGAACCAGATGACAACTCATTTACATGGGAGATGGAGAACAGAACACCTGAAGCAGAGACTGCAGTGAATTCTGGGATCAGAGAAGCAGGGGAGCACTACATGATGGGGAATCTGTGCTCCAAATGCTAATCAACCCATGTTTACACACACCCAGCTCAGCATTTATCAGACCAGTTCTAATTTGGATTTACAAAGGACCCAGACACACACCCACCTCTAAGTTTAATAGGCATCTCGAGCCATACATTCCCTAGTCCGGATTTACAAAGGACTCCCCCCCCGCCCCCCACCTCAGACACACACCTCTAAGTTTAATAGGCATCTCAGGCCATACATTCCCCGGTCCCAGTATGGGAGGCCTATTTAAACCTGATTGACTAAAACTCAGTTGCTGGGTTAGGGAATGCTGAGGCAAAGAGACCAAGTCAGAGCAGGTATGGGCAACATTTGAACAATGGTAAAGGGTTCATCACAGCATCCAGCCTGTTGGAGCCCTGACCACAAGTGTTGTCATACTTTTCCTGGGATGACTGGTGGAAGGTTGGATGATCACCTGTCTGGGGTCTTGTGAACCCAGCATTCATTCCTGCCTGTGGCAAGGGGTCAGGCTAGATGATCTGTTCAGGTCCCTTCTGACCCTAGCTACTATGAAACTATGAAGTCCTCTCCACAAAAGGTTATGAACACTCCAATAATTGCCCTAAGTCTGTTAAAAGACTATAGTAAGATGTGGAAAAGTCATGCTAAGCTGAGGCTTGTTTACAACAAGTAAAAATCCAAAACCCTGATGCTGCAAGCTATCTGTTGTTTCTGAAGAAACCATGAGATAGTCCATCAGTATATCTGCTATCCATAGGAATTTCAAGATGGCTGTCAAGTGTCTGGATACTTCCTAAGCTTGTGTTTCCTGATTATCAATCAGTTTCTTGAGATGCTCCAAACCAGATAACCCCTTGTCAATTGAAAAGACAATGATTTACACTATTGAAAATGCTTTGAAGAAGCTGAACTGAGGGTATAAAAATCTGTAAAAAAGCAGCAGTGTGTGCGCCAACACTATCTGCCATTGTTCTTGGGATGCTGGAAGAACAGATCATCTCCCTTCAAGGATCGTGCTATGGCCTTTACCTGTCAGCTTTGCAGCCCAAATGCCATGGCCTGGTGAGAGCCCAGCATTCTCTTTATTTTCTCTAGGCATAAATAACTAATACAGTTCAGGTTCAGAAAAGCTGAAGCTGTTTCCCTCAATACTTAGTAAAACTAGGGTAATACTGTAATTGTGTTTGTTTTTCCTTTGCATGTCTATTACTCCTAGTACCATTCTATATTATTTCATATACTTAGCAGTAAATAATTTTTATAGTCAAACTGGTAGTAACTGGGTATATTTTTCCTTCTCTACTTTCCTTCCCCACTTGCTCTGCAGCAATACTTCTTTTACCCAAGCTAAAGATCCCTGTGAAGCCCAAAAATACTGTGGGGCCTGCTCATCAAGGGGCTAAAGCTTGGGACATGCTGAGTTTGAAACACATAAGGGGATCAGCTTGTACAGGCTGATTGACCTAGTTTGACTCAGACATGCCCTAATGAACTGAATGCTGGCCCATGAAGGTGTCAGCTGGACACCCAGCCGGATTCAGAAGTATTCTGTTCACCTGTGTGCCCGACTGCAGTTTATTGTTGCTCTGATGAACTGATTCTTGGCATGTGAAGGTGTCAGCCTGTCCATGCTGATCAACCTGGCTGGGTCAGGCGTGTCATGTTAATGTGTGTGCGTGTGTGACTGATTTGGTGACTGGAGGAACCCAGCCCCAATGAAACCGAGTCCTGCAAGATGGCTCCACTGGGAGTGAGGAGTTGCAGAAGGGAGATGTACAGCTCCGTATAGAAACACAAGTAGCACATTGATAGAATTACAGAGACCCCAGAAACGTATCCCTAATAAATGAGCACACCGCAAAGTAATGGGCAAATTTGGTAACGAGTTACAGTTACATGATGGATCATTGAACAGTGAATATCAAAAAGCCCTAGCTTTAGAATTAATCAATAAAACATTCAATTGTGAGAAGCAGGGGAATGGAGAGGAATAAAATCTGTGGGTAGTCATTAAACCTGATACAAATGTATTAATACAACAATAAAAATTAGCACATGCTACAGAATATGCAAACTATTTTTTCTTCTCATTTCTGTGCACGCTACCTTTACAGAGCTGGATGGGAAGGAAATCAAGACCACCTTCATTTGGTTTTGGTTCCTAAGAAGCTTTGATGCTACCAATCTTTTCATTGCTTTCTCCCTTCCCAAAACCCAGAGAGAACCAGTCAAAAGAAAATTAAACACAAAAACAAACACAGGCACTGTTAGATCCTTGCTTCTATATGAATTAGCAAGAAATACAATATAGAACCCAAAGATTCCACCCTTTACTAAAATGTGTGGAGTACAGAGCATTTTTCTACCTGCATGAAGATATTCAATTCAGCACTATAGCTTTTGGCTGATTGTCATTGTCAGAGTATTAACACCAGAAGTACAGAAGTGGGCTGAGCCATATGGCTATCAAACTCCGAAAAAAATAAATGTATTTAAAATGTTTTTTACTACAGTCTGAGGACAGATGCTACTGTTAAGTGTTTTCAGTACTTATTTTACATTTCAAGTATTTTATGAATCATGCTTGGACAGTTGTAAATTTTTTTTAATGCTCTTGCACAACTACTACTAATACTCATCTTTTGCAACTTGGGAGACAACTTATGACACTGTGTTGCAAAGCAAATAACACTTTACATGGCATGTACAACAAAAAACGTTACAACAAATATAACCCCCACCTCCTCAGAACTGGATTTCTTCAGCCCCTTGACTTTAAAAGGAATCTTTACCCCTCATGCCTATTCAGGTTTTCTGCTAATTCAAGGGAGAGATGAAGGACAAGCAACTCCCACCGCATCCTGAATAAAATAAGGATGCCAGCAACATCTACACAAATGGTCTCTTCCCAGCACTAGTAAAAAGGACAAAGTCAAAGGAAAAAAAAGTGACACTATTACAACTAAATGCCTATTTAATAATCACAGAGGTTGAATTAAAGCAATGTTTCCCAGACTTTTTGGATCAACTGACTGTAGGCCTCACCGGAACGTTGCTCAATATATACTGCTCACACAAAAAGACTTTGCTAAAACACTGGCCAGAGTAGGTCTGACCAGCAAACCTGACTGATGTGTGAGCTTCTTGCCTAAGCAAAAAAAACTCAGCATGTGGACCAGTTAGATGGGCACTCCTGCCAAAAAGGGGGTGGGGGGGGGGCGTAGATAAATCAAGATCTATTCCAGCAGGAGGATCTCGGCAGTTTAGAATCATAGAGAAGTAGGGCTGGAAGGAACCTCCAGAGGTCATCTAGTCCAACCTCCTGATTATAGTTTGGATAGGGGATGAGGCAGGATCATCCCCTATCCAAACCATTGCATACAAACCATAATCTAAACTCTACATAAAACTAGGGTCTGTACTGCATCAACCCTGACACAATAAAGACCCTAACCTGCCAAAGGTGAGCAGGAGTTATTTGTTACAGGCATTTCCTTGTATATCAAAGTTCCAAATACCTTTAATCCTCTATCCCAGTCATGGGAATTAACTAGTTAAAGTTAAAAGTTGGCCATTTCTTTAACTTTTTAAAAGAGTTTTAAAAAAAGGTTAACTTTAACTTTTTTAAAAGTACAAGTTAAAAGTTAAACTCTGGGAAAGCCAGATCCTGACATAGCCACTCTCTAGGACTTGCATGGAATGGTATTTCTTTATTGAAATGCTAGGACTTCTTGTTTTAGACACACAGTAGTGTGCCCTCCTATGAGATATGGTCTCTTAAGAACTACAAGTCCCAGAATTCTTTTGTTCATGCTGACATTTTCTGTACATTTGCAGAAGTCAACAGTGCAGCCAGTTGGCTGCAGGAGAGGGAACAAGCACAAACAAGCAGAGACATTGATCCCAATAAGAGTGGGAGCAAGTAGTAAGGGTGAAGCAGATGATGACTTTAATTTTAATGAAGATCAGAACCAGGGCCCAGGGAGTTGAGTATTACTTCTCATCTGTGAGAAGCTTATCTGAGGTGTCACCTACTATGAAAAAACTATTAATTTGTTATAACACAAGCATTCCCTCATCTGCCCATGTAGAGCGACTGTTCAGTAGTGGGGGCTTAGTTTTGCAAAACAAAAGAGGAAAGTTGTCAGGTGTAAATTTTGAAATGCAGCTTTTGCTGAAGTTCAATAAACAGTTTCTGCTATGCAACTGAACATTCTCTCATTTAAACTGATTTTCTCAGTCCAATTTTGCTTTTCAGACACTTTCATTATTTCTAATTCCGATGTATTCCATACCCTTTTGAGCAATAAAAATTGCAACAACAGAGTTTTTCTGTGGAAACAGCTTTCATTTGTCACCTGTCTATGAATATCTCCTTTCTGTTATTCTGGTATATATGATGCATTGACTTTTAAAAAGTACGTCACATGGCAAAGGTGAGAAGGATCTAACATTACATAGGTATTGGTAAATTGTTAATCTGAAAACTGTATGACAAGTATAACATTGTTTTCAGGTAACAGCAGGGTGAGTTCCAAATAAATTAGTGTGCTTCTGTGGGCTTATGGAAATGAAACCCACTCATTGCATTTGAAAATTAAAAATGATGCTACGAGGCAATTCACTGTGGTACACGCATTTCTCACAAATCAACTTACCTTTTAACTAGTTACTGTCTTTTTAAACTTACCTTGTAACTAGTTGAAAGTGGAAATATTTAACTTTCAAGTTAACTCAAGTTAAAAGTTAGCAGCCTTTAAAATTATTTTTCATAAACTTTTCCCCATGACTGCTCTATCCTTCTA